TTCAAAAAATTTGTTGACAGGCTTGAGCCTCAAGTGTTGGAACTTCAAAGTGCTTTGAAGACCAACGACATTCTGAATAAAGAAATTAAGGAGTTGCAGCGGGTTCGTGCTTGCCTGCTTAAGGAAAATGAGCAGTTGAAGGGTTCGAGGCTGGGTTTGAGGCTTTGCTTACTTAGAGTCAAGCCGATTTCTACAAGTTGGTCTATGTAGATCATCTCTATGGGCGGCCGTCTGACTTTGAGTTTTCTGGTAAAGACTTCAAGTCCTTCTTTATTTCTCCAAAAAACTTGCTCGCTTTTACTTTTAAGTCTTCTATCAGTAAAGTAGTTGGAAAAGTTAGTGCCCAAGCTAGGGTAGCCGCGGGTAAAGAACCGAAAGATGCCACTGCTGAGAACACCAAGGCTGCTGAAGGTGTGGCGACCGAGTAGTCGTGAGATATCCAAGCTATTGAAGAGTAGTATTCTAGGTAGCCTTTATGATTTTCTTTGTTGCTTTTGCTTGAACTTCTTCGGTATTTGCTAGTTGTTTATCAATTTTGTTATAAAATTTAATAAACTTGCTTCCTTTGCTTTTCCCATCTTCGCTTCTTTTTTGTCCATGCCCTAACCTTTAGACCTTATAGACCAGTGTTGGTGTAGAACTTTTGCAAAGCTGTTAGCCATAGGGTTGGCAGCCGGATGCCTTGCTTACAGAAGCAGACGAATCCACGTAACCACTAGGTTGTTAACCTTGGCTTTTTCCAATTCCATAGGTTGTGTAGCAAGTATCACAATACTTTAAAACTTGGTGTAGGTTGTTCTGTGCTTGGCAGAGGTGAAGCTTTATCGACTACGTAGCATGTCGGCACTAGATAAAGCTTCGTATATGCATGCTAGCTTGTTTAACCTTTCATAAGAATGTGATGTTATATAAGCTTAGTGTGGTTTTACTGCTTGAAGGGCAGGCCATAGGCAATCTTCCGGAAATCCGTAGGCTACCTTAGTGCACTCGGTAGCAGCTTTAGGTTTCGAGGGCAGCCGCCCAATGGGTGTGCTGTGTAATGTGCCCCCTCTGTCTCTAGGGCTTAGTTCCCTGCGGATTAGGCCAATAGACCCATAATCCTTCAACTAGCTAAGCCTTGAAAAAGACCATTGTGACTATTTCTAGGAATCTCGGCGCAAGCCATCATACACCTAGTTATACTAGGGCAGCCAGGCTCATCTACGTCTGGATATTCGAAGTGTTGAGTTTATCCTCCCACCTTGGAGAACATAATTGGTCCCTCTGAGGGTGCAATTCCTGCAGTAAGTCCCAAACGGGGGTGCAATCTTCTTTTGAAGTGCAGGAAAGATAAGTTGTTGTAGACATGTAATCGAGCTAGTTACAAATTACTTTTGAATTCTTTATTGAAAAATGAACAAAATGAGTGAATAACTTGGCTGCAAAAGACTGCATAACGACTAGATAGTCTTCGACTTACAAGGTGGTGCCCATTGAGCTGCTTGAGTTTTTGGGTCTTAGTATAGTGAGAAGTCACACATGGTATTTCCTTAAATTCTTGGCGTTCCATTGCTTCTCGATCTTTTTATCATTCATGGTAGTAAGGGTGTAGCTACCCTTACCGTCTACTTTGCTAATCTTGTAAGGACCTTCCCAGATGGGATCCATCTTTTTCGAGCCTTCTCTACGGGCAGTGATGAAGGCTTTTCTTAGGACTAGATCTCGAGGTTGGAACTGCCGCATCTTGGCCCTTTTATTGTAGTTGGAAATGAGCTGCTGCTTGTAAGCTGCGATGCGGGTGATGGTCTGTTCACGCCTCTCTTATGTCAAATCTAAGTTTATGGCCATCTCTTTAATGTTTTGCTCAATGCTTGGTAGTAGAGTGTTGATGCTTGGCACGATGATGTTGGGAGGAATGATTGCTTCCGAACCAAATGCTAAAAAGAAAAGAGTTTCACCGGTCGCTCTTCTTTTGGTGGTGCAATATGCCCATAAACATCCGGGGAGCTCATCTGGCCATTTTCCCTTTTTGTCAGTGAGGGATTTCTTGAGGCAGTCGAGGATCGTCTTGTTGGATGCTTCTGCTTGCCCATTGCCTTGAGGATATATTGGCGTGAACATGTGTTATTTGATGCCATATTTTTAGAAGAACTTCGCCAAATCTTTTCCCACAAATTGTGGGCCGTTGTACGTGACGATGGACTGAAGGATGTCAAATCGGCAAATGATGTTCCTCCATATGAAGCGCTCTATATCTGTCTGAGTCGTGGTCGTCATGGGTTCTGCTTCTACCCATTTGGTAAAGTAGTCGGTTGCCACGATCATCATGCATCTGCCCCTAGTAACAGGCGGCATAGGCCCTAACAGGTCGATTGCCCATTGCATGAATGGCCAAGGACTCATCTACGGGTGTAGCTTACTGGCAGGCAGTGCTGGTACTGATTTGTAGCGTTGGTCGCGATTACACTTTTGTACTAACTCCTTAGCATCTTGGTGCATGGTAGGCCAGTAATAACCTGCATTAAGAGCCTTCTTGGCTAATAATCGGCCTCCATAGTGGTTCCCACAAACACCTTCATGGATTGAGCTTAGAACCTTCAAGTCATCAGGAGGTGCTAGGCAGCGGAGATGTGGTCCAGTGTAAGATCTTCGAACAAGAATGCCATTCCACATATAGTAGCGTGCCGCCTTGTTTTGGAGCTTCCTTGGCTCCAATCTTTAGGTGGGTAGTGTCTCGTTGACCAAGTAGTCTATAATAGAACTTTGCTAGTTGGGAGTTACACTAACCTGTGACACTTCAGCTATCGGCTCCATCTCTATGCTTGGCTTGTCTAGATATTCCACCGAAATAGAGCGTTTAAATTGGTGGTCGAGAGCGGAGCCTAAACCAGTTAGTGATCTGCATAAGCGTTGTCTGCTCGTGGAACTTAAGTGAGAGTGTAAGTCTGAAATGCCTCAAGCTGCTGGCGTACTTTCTTTAGGTATTGTGCCATCCTTGGGTGTTTTGCCGTGTATTCCCCAGTAGCCTGGCTGGTGATTAGTTGGGAATCAGAATGAATTGCGAGTTTCTTCATCGCCAAGTCTTTTGCCATTCAGAAGCCTGCTAGTAGGGCCTCGTACTCTACTTCGTTATTGGATGCTTTGAAGCTTAGAGTGATCGCCTGCTCGAGCATTGAGCTGTCTGGAGTAACAAGGATTACACCTGCTCCCGAGCCTTTATAGTTGGATGCTCCGTCGACATGCAAATTCCAGAAGTCTTTATCGAATGGAACAAGCGTGGCTAAGGTGCTCTCGACTGCTTCTGAGGCGTCGTTGGGCCACTCTGTTGCGTCGCCTAGGCTAGGCGTGAATTCCACTACGAAGTCTGCCAAAGCTTGGGCCTTTATCGCTATGCAAGGTCGGAAAACTAAACCATATTGGCCAAGTTCCAATGCCTATTTCATCACTCGTTGAGAAGCGTCCAAACCATGTAATATTGATCGTAAGGGATATTGAGTCATGACAATAACTGTATGAGTTTGGAAGTATGGTTTAAGCTTCCGAGCCGCAACAACTAACGCCAAAATTAATTTTTCGATCTTCAGATATCTTGTTTCGGCTTCGAGAAAAGCTTTAGAAGTGTAGAATACTGGTAGTTGGGCCCCTAGCTCTTCTCGTATGAGGGTAGAGCTCACTACTACTTCGGAGACTGGCAAATAAATGTATAAATCCTCTGCTGCTTCCAGCTTGGATAGTAAGGGAGGTGATGTGAGATAATTATTCAAGTCTTGGAAAGCTTTTTCGCATTCTTCATCCCATTTGTCTTTTTGTGCCCTCTTGATAGCTTTGAAAAAAGGCTTGCATCGATCGGTGGATCGTGAGAGGAAGCGGTTGAGGGCAGCTGCTCGTCCGGTCAAGCTTTAGATCTCATTCAAGGTAGTTGGAGACTTCATCTCTAGGATTGCTCGGATTTGCTTGGGATGTGCTTTAATTCCTCGTTGGGTTATTAAGTACCCTAGGAATTGGCCTGAAGATACTCCAAACGTGCATTTGGTAGGGTTGAGCTTCATCTTGTACTTTCTAAGGATATTGAAAGTTTCTGCCAAATTGCAAATATGATCTGATCGCTGCTTACCCTTTACCATGATATCGTCGACATAGACCTTCATGGTTACCCCAATTTGCTTTTTGAACATCATATTTACTAGCCTTTGGTAAGTGGTTTCCGCATTTTTTAGGCCAAAAGGCATGACTTTGTAGCAGTAGATGCCCCGCTCTATCACGAACGCGGTTTTCTCCTTGTCGGGTTCATACATGGCTATTTGATTGTAGCCGGAGTATGCGTCTAAGAAGCTGAGCAACTGGTTCCCAGAAGTTGAATCTATTAATAGATCGATCCGGGGGACAGGATAAGGGTCTTTTGGGCATGCTTTGTTAAGCTTAGTGTAGTCTACGCAAACCCTCAATTTGCCCTTCTCTTTCTTCATGACTAATACGACATTAGCAAGCCATGCCGAATGTGCTACCTCTTCTATGAACCCGACCTCCAATAGTTTGTCGATTTCTGCCTCAATGATTGCTACTCGCTCGGGTGGGAAATATCTTCTCTTTTAGATTACCGGTTTGGCAGTAGGGTCGACGTGCAGTTTGTGGTAGGCCATCTTAGGGTCAATACCGGGCATGTCAGATGGTGACTATGCGAAGATATCACGGTTTTCTTTAAGGAAAATCGTGAGTTATTCCTTTTCATCTGGGTTTAGTCGTAAGCCAATTTTAGCCGTCTTTTTCTGCTTCTGGAGATCAAGAATGATGTCTTCGGTGTCCTTTTCAGGTTTCCATCCTATCTCGTCTGCTTAGGCGCCATATTCTCGATCCACTTGCTGTAATTGCTATTTGATAGCTTCTTTGTCCTTTTGGACTTCTGTAACCTCTACGGGGGTAAAGGTCTTCTTCTTTGATTCTTTCAACATTTGCACAGTGCACCGTCGGGATGAAACATGGTCAGACTTGATTTCTCTTACTCATTTTCCTGGGATGCGGAATCAGATTTTTTGATACTTGACAGAAGTGACAGCATCCAACTTGATCAACCAAGGTCTTCCAAGAATCTTATTGTAGGGAAATGAATCACTTACGATCGTGAACGTTTTCTTTAAGACGACTGGCGTTGTTTTTACATCAAGTATGATGTGGCCGATGGCAGTTGAGATGTGTCCGTTGAATCCGGTAAGTACCTCTGCTCGGCGTATGATTGTGCTTTCCAGGCCCATCTTCTGAATGACTGAGAGTTGAAGTAAATTGATTGCACGTCCATTGTCAACCATCATCCTTTCAACTATAGCATGGGCTAGTTGAACAGATACTATTAGTGCATCATCGTGTGGGAAATCGACGCCTTCTGCATCCTGCTCAATGAAGCCAATAATGGGTCCAGGTTGGGTATCGACTGCTTGGACTTGTGAAATTAGTAAAGCCTGCTGGATCTTCTTCTTTTTGGAGTTATTAGTGGCCCCCAAGTGCTCAGATTCGGCGAAAATGCCATTGATTCGAATCATCTTAGCTGGTGGCTCCTCATCTCCGTCTGCATTCCTTTTTTGCTGCGCAGCTGGCTTGTCCAAGTATCTATCGACTTTGCCTTCTTTCACGAGCTTCTCTAGGTAGTTCTTCCAAGTGTAGCAGTCATCGGTTGTGTGACCAGGACCTCAGTGGAATGCGCAATACTTGGTGTGGTCCAACTTGGAAGTATCTCCTTTTGATTGTTTCGACAACTTGAACCATGGTTCGTTCTTGATGTCACGAAGAATTTGATGAATCGAAATTGAGAACTTAGAATAGCTCTTGGTTGTTGGGCCTTCTTTGGTCGTGGGTCAATCCATACGCTTGGCCTCATGCTTACCCTTATTGGGCTGTTTCCCATCCTTCTTCCTTTGAGCAGCTGTCGATTCTCTTCGAAGCTGTTCAGGCGCATTTTCTGCTCATCGAGCCTCATCCCAAAGTGCATGCTTCTCTACCAGGGCAAAAGAATCTGGTAGAGTTAGGTTTTCTTTCATGATCATTTCTCCGAACAGTGGGTGGTCTGCTGGGAGTCTTTTTTGGAAGGCTGCACTTGCTATTGAGTCATTGCATCCGACGATCTTTGCCTTCTCGGCTTTGAATCTTTTTATGTAGTCACGAAGTGACTCATTTGGGTTTTTCTTTACGTTAAACAAGTGATCAGACTTTTTCTTAATCGAGCGGTAAGACTAGTACTCTTTGGTGAAAACCAAGGAAAGATCATCAAAATTCTGGATGGACCGCGATGGCAAGGTATGAAACCAATCTTGTGCCTTGCCTTGTAGAGTGGTGGCGAATATTTTGCACATAAGGGCGTCATTATTTCGATAAAGAACCATCGCACTTCGGTAATGCTTCAAGTGTCTTTCTGGATCCCCGTCTCCTTTGAAAGATGTGAAGTGCGGCATGCTAAACTTGTGTGGATGCTCTGCCTGCTCGATCTCATTCGTGAAAGGTGACCTACTTATGTTGGTCATATCTCGCCTTAGTGCTTCATCAACCATTTCGTTATGTCGGAAATCACGCATTCGTTCATTGAAAAACCTTTCTACCTCTTCTTAGATTTGCCTTTGTTGGGGGTAATGGAGCCTTCAGCTGCCCCTGGTCTTTACCTGCCGGTCTAGGCTGCTCTTCTACACGGTTGGCTCGTCTATGTTGTGGCTGCGGTGTATGAGATAGATTCCTAGCAGGCGAGGGATTTCTTTGCAGGCTACCGGTTGAACTAGAGCCGGATTGAACGATTGTTTCCTTCCGTTTGTCAGGCTGCCTGTTCCGATGTGATGTAGAGGATACTCCTTGCTTTCCTAACCGCGAATGAATGCTTTGCTTGGAAGGCTGCCCATGTTGATTATCAAAGCATGGCCCCAATCGTGAATGTATACTTGCCCGTGGGCCTAGTTGAGAGTGCACACTCCTCCGCGCGCTAAGATGGAAGTATACGCTATCTCGGGGGTCCAATCGAGAGTGTGCACTACCTGAATGCTCGATTTGTGGTTGGTTGAGTGGCTGCTTTCCAGGATGCTACTTGAGAGGTTCCTCATCTACCCTTGTCCTACTTCGGGATACTTCATCTGGGGCATGTTGGATCTCGGTGCGTTGCAAAAGTTGATTCACCAAGGTTGTTTGTTGTGCAAGAGCGCTTGTCAATTCTATGACTTGTCGGGACAAGTTTTGTTCGTCATTTGGATTGGAAGAACTTGGATGGAATGCACCTCCTTGAACAATAGAATGGTGGTTGACTCCGAGTGCGAGATTTGAGTTAGGGAATGTCAAATCTGCAGAGAAATATGGTGAAAATGCCCCTAGCCTTGATGATTGGTCTGGATGGTTGAGATAGTCTCGAGCCGACTTAGGAAGCCATGAGAGTAGGCTGGGCTGCATGAGTAGGCTGGGCTGCAGGAGCAGGCTGGATCACGGGAGCAGGCTGGATTACTAGAGCAGGCTGGGCTACGGAAGCAGGCTGCTCAATGCGTGGTGCATGCGAATGCGAGGCTTGGGCTTGGGCCCGTGCAAACTTAGATGGCATGGCTTGGGCCATGGTGGAACCTCGTAGTGGTGGTGCCACTCTGTTTACGACCCTATTTTGCCTCGTGGATCTCTGCAATCCCATTTCTTGAGTATTAGAATTTTCACTTGTGGTATTTTACAAATTTCTAGCCATTATATTTTTCTTATACGTTTTATTAAAGAACCTTTGCATGTGAAAAATTCTAATAATAAGAACGTATGAAAAATATTCAAATGGACTAGAAAATAGAGAAAAAACCTTTTTGTGCAAGAGTCTTCTAGGAGTATGGATTTCAACTCTCAATGAAAGCACCAATTTGTGGATGCAAATTTCTTCCTCCTTCTTGGACTAAATTGCACCTACAAAACAATTAACACCTTAGAGTTAAGGCCAAAAGCCTCACACGCCTACGATGAATGAAGGGGCTTTAGCTGAAGAAACTCCGATGCCAAAGTTAAAATTTAGAGAGAAAAAGTGTTTAGAGAATTTGTGGAATTTTACAAGAGTGTTGGAATGATTTTTGGGTGAAAATGGGAGCCTATTTATAGGGATAGGCCAATCCCTTTTGGAGATGGAGTGGCCGGCCACTAGCTAGGGTTTTCTAGGTTAAATTTTGGTTTAATTAGCCAATTAATTGGCTAATTAAACATAAAGGGAATGTTTTGGTGGTTATGGAATTAATTGGCTAATAAAAAGGAAGAAATGGTGAAAAAAAGGTAGAAAAAAGTGATGGATTAGGTTTTGAATGGGGATAGCCGGCCTTTGAGTAGTTTTAGGTTTGAATGGGTGTTTAAATTGATAATTAAGGGATTGATTAGGTAATTAATCCGTTAATTAGTCAATTTTTAGGAAATATGAAAGGAATATATTATTTAGCTAATTGATTAGCTAAATAATGGAATATAAAACATATAGAATAAATTAGGCTTTAAATTGTTACCTATTTTGGGCACTTTTGACTTGGTTGAAAGATGATTGTCCACTGCTCGCGCATAGGAATCCTGGTATGCCTCAAGGGTATTTTTGTCCTTTTTTGTCCAAAAATCCACGTGTCGCCTAGTGAATATTTTTGGCTCCACAATAAGTATGAGAACTCCTTGTTGATTGCGTTCAGTGAATTCATTTTCCATTGAGCACCTACATGCTTGTCTTGGTGTCAGTCACACCAATGACTCGAGACTAGTCACTCTCCTTAAAAGCAGACATAGCTTGTACTGATCTTAACAAACTGTCAATACCCAATTGGCAATCCTATAATCAGAAACGTTTAGGATATGTATACGAAAGAGAATGGTCTCATGAATCTAACTTCTTTATATCACATTCTCCCAATTACATATTCTTTGGACTTATTATTTAAGCATATAACATTTATATGAGACGGCTTAAAACGATAATCTTTGCCCTTTATATTAAACTAGATTAGTTTAACATGTGAAATGTCCGTAAAGTATCATCATATGATTGGTTTTAAGGCACATTTCCAACATGGCATGAGCAAGTACTAAAACCCATGTAACACATGATGAGCAGTTAACATAAGTATGATTATGCAACGATAAATAGATAATTCTACTCAACATAACACTATTCACGGCTGTAAATATAATTAAGGCATCCCATAATAATACACATACATGTGCATCCCGTAGGATGTACAATAATTTTATAAATTACGTCAATGCACTAATTCTTATAAACGCTAATCCAATCTAGGCGTAACGTAGAAATCTTTTTTATTAAATATATAAATGGAAACTAAATAAATATATAATATTTAAAAGCAAAGATCCACTTAGAAATCATATCTTCTGGTCGAACCCACCTCGCGTGCATCGAAGATCCTTGCAATGCATTTCACCTAGAAATGAAACCATTCACATAAATATATAACATACTAACATAAATACGCGTTTTCATACAAAGTACGATTAATAAAGGAACTATTTTCAAACGATCAAATTTGGAAAACTGAGCATGGATTCTGATTCGGCACGTCGAGATACCTAACGAGGGACCTCGAGCTCCTCCACGCACCACCGCACGGAACGCCATAAGATAGCTGCATAGGCAGCCATGCGCTATACACATGCCTCACGCGTCCGCGAGTATAATAGTACTCGTTATCTTTGCGTAAAGCTGGTTTGTCCAGTTTGCAGGGCCAATTTTCAACCCGTCGATTGAGCTCAATTCTCAATCATCCTCCGCGTTCTACCTATGAAATAGAAGCTTAACATAAGAAGAATAAAACCCTACCAATATGAGGTTGAGTCGTGCCCAGAGTTGGTCATAAAAGTGGTTTGAAGGTGGCGTGTTCATTAATCGTAAAATTTGGGGAATGTTTCCCCGAGATGATTATGCATCCAATCATCATCAAAACACACATGTAACCTGTAGAAATATGGTGATCTGGATAGTTTGCCGTGAAACATGGTGGTGACTGTTCCAGTTATTATAGAGAAAAGAAGGTGATAGATGGATAAGGAAGAAGGGAAGAAAAGAGAGTGAAATGAGGGAAAGTTAGAGAGAGATTGCCCAGAAATGGGAGACACAAAAAAGAGGGAGGAATGGAGTATAGGCCCCTTCGGCACCCAGCCCAAAGTCACAAAGGATAAAACTGAAGAAAAAAAATCTCCGGTAAACGTGAATTTACCAAAACACCCTTATGTTCCGAGTTTCATAAAATCTTCCCCATAGCTCCAAATTTATTTTTGCTTGCGACCACGTGCTCATATCGTCAAGTACTACGATAATAAGTGTGTGTTATTGAGTCAAGCCCAAATAATAATTAATTAGGCACGAGGCTTAATTAATAAAATATTGATGTAGACGAGTTTACTTGACTACTTGCTTAACAAACCTAACGAATAAGCCATCGGTATTACACTTTGCAGCCTGCAATACTGACAACTCACTATTGTCTTGATAAACAAGTAATAAATTCTCTAGAGTGCAAAATTACCATTTTGACCCTCATTGGGAAACATGCATAAATCGTTTGATTTATGCCCGTTCATGCTCAAGTGCTCGTAAGAACACGTACCATGTGCAAAGAAACAAAGAGTGATAAGGACTCGAATGTCCATGAAGGATTTCCACCCG